GCGACGCGGCAGAGGACCTGGGCCCGAGCTCGAGCGCAAGCTTGGGCTCGAGATCAAGCAGCGACATGGACGGCTCGGCTTCGGTCGGCATGGAGGCGGCCTTGGCGAGATGGCGTTTGACATGGTTGGTGCGGTGATCGGACCGCAGGAACGACTTGCGGCAATAGGGACAGGGAAACGGGCGCAGGTTCTCGTGCCGCCGACGATGGCGAGTCAACTCGTCGGACCGACAGAACCGGAGGCCACATATTTGGGTCTGAAGCTGATTGTCACGCTGCACTTCGTAGGTGCACACGTAAGGCTTCTCGCCTGATGGGAAAACCAAAGGATTAGGTGTTTTTAGTTTATAAATAGGATTTCGAGACGACCGGCAGGTCATATACATGAGATGTGTTTACGCTATTTTGTTTTAAATGATCAAGGGATTGGTAGTTAAACTTGGTATCATACACACTTTAGTGTTTACTGTGTCGTAGATGCGAAAAACGCGTCAGACTGAATTGTGAAAGTGAACGAGTGACACGAGGACATAGGACAGATGAGATACCATAACTGTTTAGCAGACAATTTGTCAAAGAATCGACTTATCTTGTCGCCATGGCGAGTTGTTGGATGGTGCTAATGGCGAGGCTCATTGACGATGTCAACTACGATGCCGGTGGAACGTCTGAGATGTACCAAGTCAACGTTCCTGACTGGAACTTATCACGTGTATTATGGACTCCAGACAAGTTGCATTAATCTAGACTTTCCCGCCAATTCGACCAAGTTGCGAAAACAAAGTGCGACAGGCTTGAATATGGTTTTAGGGATGCCCCCCTGCTTTGATGATGCCGATCATACGACGGACGAAGGCTTAGAGCATTTTTCATTTAATAAGCGGGTTTGCAAGATCACCCGTTTATTGTGTGAGACCTATTCACCCTATTTCGTTTAAGGTTATAGCGGGACTGGGGACGAGAATTGGAGCTGAATGTATCTCCATGGGGTGTAGATGATTTTGTAGTCGAGAATGAGATGAGATTTGGTTATGTATTGGTTGTGAAAACCTTATGCATTTTGGTAAGGATAACTTATCAAATTATGACAGCAGCTTTCCATAACGAACCTATATCGAGGTTTATTGTATCGCTTGGTTGACAGGTTCTAAGAATGATGCCCTGCTCTAATCTAATGATGACCGTGACGACGGACGAAAACTTAACATTTTTTCATCTGAATAGAAGGCTATTGCCACGGAAATAGCGCCAACAAGAATAATGGACTACCTTTCGTCTCATGTTATGAAACAAATGAAGGGGATTCGTAAGTTCACCTGTCTGGAAGTTGAAGGGGGATTGCCTTGACGCCGTAACTGTGGATTTACGCATACAAGTCCTCGATGAATCCTCCATGAGAGTGCATCCGTCATGTGACGGACATCGTCAGAGCATGACACCAAGCTTAGCGACAGTTCCCCAAACACAAAGACAAGAAATTCTTCGAATCTCTTCGAATATTTTCACCCGAAATTGAAGTTATCTAAACAATTATAAACCAAGAGATTCCTCGTGACCCAATCCTTCTTCGCATACACCATTTTAGTCCCCACAATTACGATTGTAGCTCCTTCACCAGACGGAGTCTGCTTCCTCCTTCCCTCAAGTGAGCCATGGACGTAACGAA